GAAGACTTTCAGAACAGTCCGTATCCGTATCTGATACCTCGCTATCATAAATGTGCTACTTTATTTAACAGGACTGATAAGTATCTAGTAAAGACGTAATTCTGCCGATTCGTCCTTCGAAGGGGAAGACTGCCTTGAATGAAAGGAAGTTGCGTCTTGCTGCTTCCTCAAAAGCGAGACTTAACCCAATCCTACGGTGGATGATAACTGCACCTCATTTTGCCACACTCGGCCCGAGGTGAGGCCCTGAATCGCGGAAAAATCATCGGTACAGGATCATCTGATCTGCTGACTAGCGACCCTAGAGATTTAAGCACAAAGTTGCACCATATTTCTCAGGCATGTGAAATTCCAGTCATATACCTCATAGTTCCAAGGATATATTGGGTCACAACAGCAGATACCGTATAGGAGGCCGCCTATCACTTCATTATAGGCCAACTCGTATCTCTAGGCCAACTCTTCTCACAAGTGCGTGATAGCTGCATGCAAGAAAACCCTTAAATTAAGGTTTTTATCTATAACTGCTTGCTCATACCGCATCACAATATTTGACTTGCTGAGTTGCCTCAAACGAAGGCCGGTGATTGAGAGGCGTCTGTGCTCTCTCATCCTAGCATTCGGCTGCTCGCGGCACTTTTTAGGTTTTAAAACAAAAATCAGTTCAAATATGACTCACCGCTGTAAGACGCTCATCAATAGATCGAACGCTCTGGTCGGTTGCATCGTATCCCGGAAACTGGCCACAGAGATTGCGGCACCTGATGATGGTCTGATCAACCTCATCCAGCAGATGTGTCATAGCGGCGTCCGAATGTGCTGGCAGCACAGAGCCCGGTGCGGATCCCACAGGGGCTCCCATCGTGGGCGACAGCTGCATCTCGTCGACGCCGGTGCGCAGTTCTACCAGCGTTTCCTGCAGTCCTGGCACCCGAAGTTCGAGTTCAACCAGACGGCGGAAGAAATCTTGAGGTAGTGGTCCACTGGGTTTCCCAGCTGCTGTGGCCTGCATCTGGTTCTCTAGGTCACGTAGACATTGCAGCAACTAGCAGAAAAGAAAGGTCCAGTAAATGAGACGGGCTCTCAAGGCTGTTCTCAAAAATGGTGCAAAGTAAAGCCCAATTTTTTCTGCTTTTTATCTTACCCTCGCTGTTCCACGTCGGATGCAAAGTTATCACACTCAGGACCTCAGGTCGCAACCCTTTAGTCGGATTAAGCGCGAGCAGAGTTTGCGTGTTTGTCAACAAGCCTGCCTTTCTAGGTTTTTGTGCTTACTCCGCGTCGACTTGAAGGCTCAGAAAAGGCTGACAGTTTCTGTGCGAACCAGCGGAACCGATGTAGTGGCCGCTAGCGGCCACTGTGGAAACCCCTGATAGCTTACACACCACGCCAAGGTTGCCGTCGCGTTGACTGCCCTTAACACGCGCTCTTGTGTGAACGGCCGCACCCTGTCCACCTCTCGCTCAATGTCAGGCATGTTAGGACGGTAGCCTGACCAAAGGCCAGCAACCTTGGGTGAGGTTATATCGAGGGGTCGGATATATTTCT